TCCTTTGTTTCGCACGTCTCTCAGCTATTTCTATCGATCTTTTTGCCACAGCAATCACCCGTCAGCGGGGTTGATCTGGGGAGCGCAAATCGGCATAGAACCCAGTTAAGCTATGGCTGTAGTTGAAATCACAATGTTTAACGTTTTCTATCGATAGAAATAGCTGAGAGACGTGCGAAACAAAGGACCCGCATGGTGTGGTGGTGAACGCGTTACTCCCCGGAAAGGATAATAGCGCGTTCGTTCCCCACCATAGACACCTGCGGTCCAGAGTTTTGCAAATATCTCAGCAACGTTGTGGTTGTATTTCGCTTAGTAACCTGCCATGAAAATTATAGAAGGCAGAAAACAAAACGTTAAACATCTTTGTTAAGTTTGAAATTTCAATTACTTCCGATTTCTACTTTGTTCTCAGACATACCTTGCAAAAAAGCCATAACGTTTTTTAAAAAATCCGCTGACGCCAGGGGTTTCCTAATCCTTTGGGAAGTCTTTAGTGCAAAAATGTCTAGTATTTTCGACAGAACGTCAATGTGAACGCATCTGATATCGGTTACATCCAGCCGACGAAGCGAGTAATTGCTCTCCACTGTCAGATTTTCTTCTTAGCGAATCGAGTATCTTAGTAAAATATTGAAAATTTTTACATTGATATGAACGAAGCATTTTTCTAAGGTTAAAAAATTAAGAACCAACGCAAACTCATGTGCCCTTATATTGTGACCTAACCATTAACTGATCATGGTGTCCACGATTTTCTTTTCAGAATCCTTCATACTAGGATGCGTGGATATCAACTTTTTCACACAGCAGGGCAATGAAAATCTAGATTAAGCCTTATACTTTTTACTTCGTAGAGTGTGATCGATCCATGAAAGTGTCTAAATAACTTCCATTGGATCGATATTCAAATAGAAGCTTTTTAGCATAAATATTACCCAGCATTCATATTTAAACACGAGCCAGTTCATGTAGTAATGCTATTAGCGGATTTTTAATGCTTTAGACAGAAACTTACTGTAAGAGGAAAAGAGAATTGAAGGACGGACAATGCAAGCAAAATTTGCCATGTGTAAGAATATCGCTAATATTAACTTTTTTCGTTTTTTTAAACTTGCTTCCTACTAAAATTTTTTAAAGCAGGGTATTTGGCTGATTGCTGATGGCACTGATCGATAGAACTAGCTGACAGACGGGCAAAACGAAGCACCCCGCATTGTGTAGTGGTGAACGCGCTAGCTCCCGGAAGGAGTAATAGCGCGTTCGTTCCACACCGCAGACACCTGCGGTAAGGAATTTTGCAAATATTACAGCGTAATTAATGTCGCTAATGTTTATTTTCAAAGTTTAAGGTGTTTCTCTTCGAATTCCACAAAAACTCACTTATTGAAGACTTTTTGCAACTGTAGTGTTGTTCTACCTTTGATATACACCAAATATTCGGAGTTGTTGAATACGCGAGCCATTAGCTTAACAACATGGCGAGAGCGATTGTGTGTGATACGCTGAAAGTTATGCCAAATACTGCAATAAATATTTAAAGCGCTTGTTACAATAAATATAGTAGCAATAATAATTTAAAAAAATGGTGATAACAATAAAAACCTGTGCCACGTGTGCTCCACTAGTGGTCAAGTGGCTGAAGAACGCATCACCGAACGCTCCCCTATTCATCCCTGTCACGGGCACAATGAGTTCCAATACTTCGGGGTACACCATAGTGCAAAATATTTTTTGTTAAAACGTCTTCACAGGTTTTTCGGTGTTTTTGTTTTTTTTCTGTGTGATTGATGTTCGGGAGAACAGAGTCACTCAAAGAATTTGTCCAGTGATTGCCATTTATGTGCAAGACATCTCTGTTCCCTCTGATTGCCGACATCTTAACTTACACTGCAGTGTCCTTGGTTTTAAATCGTCAAAACGGAGCTGTGCTTGCAGTGACTCTCTAACTTCCTTCTCTCTATTATCACTTCCTTCTTGCGAGAAGAGTGTTGCCATCAGCGAAGCGAAGATGATGCAGCTGCTAACTATCAAATTTCTATGTAGTACTTTTTATCTACTGCCAATTATATTTTTATAAAAGGGTATGATGTGAAACATAACCAAAATATGAAATAATAAATGATATGAAGTGAGAAATGTGGTGTGGTTGTAGACACGTTAGCCTCGGAAACCGTAACAGCGGCAGGTTCAATCCTCAACGCAGATCCCTGCGGTCCGGAGTTTTGCAAATATCTCATCATCACTGTGGCTACTTCAGATTTCTACCTCGTGAATTCTAGCAAGATTATATGGCCTTATCGAATGACGCTGTTGATCAAAAAATGTGAAATTCTGGTTGTAAAGTTGTTGAATAGCTATGAAGAATCTTTGAGTGTTGAAAAGGACCTCAAATAAAGTAATTATTGTTGTTGTTTTAACCAAACTGGAAGCGTCTTTTAGTAGGTGGAAGATAACTATGCTTTATAAACATGGGAATATAATCCATCGCACTAAACACTTTTGGGACCTCGAAACTTATCTGCACAGTTGTTCTTCATAGAATGTTCTGTGTCGTATAGGCCTCCTTCTTGTGGATCACACCTCCATTCCAGTCTCAGAATGTTTTATTCTAATTAAAGTAAAGCTAGTGTTTTTATAAGAAATGGTGGAAGGTTATTAAGAGATTCGGCTTAAACTTTGTTCGCATCATGTTCTGTGCAGTTCTCCGTTTACGACGTGGCGCGTTATTACAGAGGAACTGTTTAAGCCAGAAGTTCTGGAAACGTCGGAACAATAAAGAATAATCGGCATAATGGAGCTGGATAAACAGAAGATTAAGAAGATTTATGAAATTTTACTCCTTTTCTCACCCTAATCCATCTTTTTTACGTATATCACTGATTTTGCGTTTACTGAAAGTTCTTAGTAAATCGTAATGTGTGCTTACTTCACTCCATTGCTGTCTCAAAATGTTCTGATACGGTCCTTCGATGACAAAAAAGACGAACGCGCCAAAGGAAATATAGAAAAGAAATACAAGTATCAGGATGAGATGCTGTAATAAAAACCTTTCAGTAACTTAGTGAGCTGAAAACACTGAAAGATGTAAATAGATGACAAGCAGTAACTGAAGTAGTGATCTAAAACGAGGACAGCGGGTTTCAGGAACTTTTTAGAGGAAAAACCCTGAGAAGAAACGCCTGCTATTTTAACTACAAAGAACCTTTTTGCAGTATTTTTCATTCCTTGGTTTTGAAACAAGAACTGCATAACTTTCACCCGACTGTTGCTATGAAAAACATTACCTCATGCTGATGGACAGACATGTTAGGTAAGGCAGAGGGCGTTACAGTGTTATGAACACTAACAGATATCAATCACCAGAGTTATCCACGCTAAAAATATCCAGTCATGATTGATTACACTTGGAGCAGCTGCGAATTCAATGTGAAGCGTCTCTGGATTCCAAAAGACGAGCTGAGTGATTACAATCCCTGGGGGTATCCAAAGAGAGCTAAGCTAAGGCGTTGGCAGGTCCACGGTTGTTTCTGCCTTTATAGTAAAAACACTGCTCCGTCGTATGGCTACAGCAATTAACTAGTTGAATCAGTTGTATTATTATATAAATTATCATAGGTTTAATGGACGTGCATAGCACAGTGGTTGCGGTGTCCTGTAATACACGTTGGGCTCCGCTCGGTGTCGTACCCCGAGCGAACTAAGCCTTCCACCTTTCCAGGGTGGGCGAATTGGTATCAAATTTGTCTGCGAGAACAAAAAAAAATTAAAAAAAAAATAAACTAGTACATCGAAAGAAAGCCGCGAAACATTTTATAGGTCATATGTGTGCTCATTTTTCTCTAACACGCTCGACAGAGTAGGGACTATTCTAGAGAAATTTATCAACGCCAAGCCCATGGGTTTGTTGAAACCTAGCAAATCTCCCGAAGTGCACCACTGATTGCATCCAGCTTATTTAATAAAAAAGTTTTATTATAGAGAAGTGTGAGGTAGTAAGACTAAAATACACTATTAGACCACTCCCAATTCCAAAAACTCTTGAATATTTTGTAGAAGAAAAACGGCACAACTATTAAATAAATGAAAACCAAAATATACGAAACACAAGGAGATTTGGACTACAGACAAGTAGACCTTTGTAAATAAGCAAAAGCATGTTTTTTCGCTTTCGAGAAACCTCATTTAAATACCTACTTAGTTTTGTGGCAGAAAGGACGCGCGTGGAGCAGTGGTCGGAGGCGTCCTGCAACACACACATGTGATCGATCCCAGCGCCCACAGCCCAGCTAGCCTTCTATCCCTCCGGGGTCGGCAAATTGGTACCACCCTTGTCTGGGAGGATAGCAGCACTGGGTCGATATATTGGTAGGTCACCGCGAGTGATTATAAAGGCTAGATATGCATTCAATGACCTTCAAACGATGCCTGATTAAATCAAATCCCTCAGAGATTGATCAATGCTGAAAGCTTTACCCTTTATCCTTTATTTAGCTTTGTTATGGTGTGAATTACAGACTGTGAAGATTAAAGTATCATTATAGCTTGATTACTCAATTATGTGATGTGAATTAAGTAAAGTAAAACTTTCCGGTATGCAATATAAATCTGCTCAACTTAATGAATCACCATATTTACATTTCGTCGTTTTCCTTTTCACCCTTCCTTCCCACTAATGGTATTTAGCGCTTCGTCTTGCCTAGAATGTGTCCCTGCATTTCGAACTAGGACATGTAGATGACCCGATGGGACACCACAGCAAGGCACTATGAGGACGAATTGGATATTTCCATCGGGAATTTCAAAGAATACGATTAAGACCACAATTTAAAATCTAGGATGCTACGAAAATTTTGGTTCAAGTTATTATGGAAGCGGAACTGTTTGTTTTTGGCCAGTTTTTAACATACTTGGCTTAGGTTTACTGGTTTCAATTGTTTTATTTTCTTTAGTCTAATGATAGCCTGCTGTTGTGATCTGAAGATGGCTTAGATAATACGATAAAGACTTTCGTATACCTTTAGTCCATATTTGTGATATGCCCTATTCATAATAATGAAACATAGCGGTGGTTCTCGTTGAAACTTCTCAACACGTCGTCGACCAGCTTCATGTGCCCTTTCTGCCATCTGTAAAAGAAAAGCTGATGTGGAACTATACGACTAAAAAATTAACAAAAAATACATAATGAGCTGAAACATACTTTTTTACAAATGAACTTTCACGTTTAGTTAAAAGTCATATATTTTGATTTATTAAAATCAATAACTCACTCAGATGATCTGTTTGTTCCGTTATTCTGAATTTCTATGCTTCCCAATTTCTGGGGAATACATTTTTCGGAACTACAAAATCATCTCCTGTTATGTGAAATACATGCACAACGATGCTGAGCTATTTGCAAAACTTGGGCCTCAATCCAGATCGAACCTCAATTAGCCTTTCCGCGTGTTCACGTTTTGCGCATGACACCACTGAATGCTTCGCTCTGTCCTTCTCTCAGCCATTCGCATAAGACAATTAATATCAAAGTCGTTGATATTTAGTATGTGGTGTTGCTATGGGAGCTCAGAGATTTATGGATGCATATCTTGGCTATTAACGTGATGAGCCACAAAAAATAGTGAAGAAGCTCTCAGGTTTGCTCGATGGTATAGAAATGTGGCACGAACTTGCTAGCTTGAATAAGAGTAAGTGAAAAATCCTTTTATTCTACATAACCCGTTATGAATCCCAACACTTCTTCTATTCGATTCGTTTTCTACGGATTTGTCGTTCGCAATGCCTTGGCGACATTTCGTGTGTTGAGTCGGTTGCTGCTTCAGCACTTTTCCTCCTTTGTAAATGAGGTGCAGTAGTTCGTACTCATTCACTGATGAGTTCTATGTGAGCGAGCTCTAATAAGATTGAGTAATATCTTCCTCCTATGGACTTCATGCTAGTCATTGGACAGCTGTCTGTGTGTCATTCTGCTAATGCCTGATCTCAGAAAAACCAGTTACACAAGTGTCTATTGACGAGGAGCCATAGGAGTTGGACGCCCATCTACATCAATGCGCGGATGCACTCAATGTGAAAGACGGTGAGCGTCAAAAAGATACCAGCAGATAAATCTTTTTTCCGCCAACTAATTATTTTTTGCATTTACTTTACCTATTTATTTTTTCTTTGTATGGTAACCGTTCAAATTTTGCAGGAAATCATTTAACTTAAAGTCGATACCGCAGTGTTCATACTTCTTTCAATCCAACAGCAGCGCGCATAATCTGCCTATGGGCCCCTTCGAGCAATCCTTCGTGATCGGATGTGCCACGAACATCCGTCATACTTGAGGAATCGATAAGAGCCGGCAATATGAACTGCGCCAAACCGCTGAGACTTCGGCGATAGTCTGTGGACATCTAAAAACGATAGCATGATTATGCGATTAGCACTGAGATTCTGAATAACAGTCCGAATATCCGGCTAACAGTCGATATTATTTGAGTGTATGAGCTTCAGTTCGAAGTTTTTTTTCTTGTTCGACTTCTATGCTCAAGATAAGAATCAAAATAAAAATTCAAAAATGAACCGCAAGGAGGAGCGTCTTGTCATCACGCGTGACGCGGCGCCACACCTCAGGATAATCCAATGACCTGACACAGACACAGTTATCGCCCACGTATTACTCTGTGCGGCTGCTATTCATCAACTAACTTAAATACTTACAACAAATAAACGGTAGGTGTTTAAATAAAGCTGTTTCTTATGCGAATGCAAATCGATTTGTCAAGTGTTATCTGCTAGGGTTATGAAAGTGTTTGGCTGGGTTGATCGCATCAAAATTTGACCTCTCCAGGCTCTGAAGAAGGTGAAACCGCCGAAACGTCAGCTATTGTATCCTAATAAATCCTATAATAACAACCTCGTATTTGCTTATTGAAGAAAAGCATAGAATCAAAATAAATATTATGTTGAGAAAATAGTTCTTCGTCACTTCTCTAACAAAAAAGAGATCGCCATTTTTTAGCTCTGCTTATGGTGCCTAATGTGTATGAAGGAGCTGCGGAAGTTTCCTCACATTGCTACTACAATATATAGCACTTTAAAAGTTTATTTTTATTTTCGAACTCCTTGCTTATAATTACTTCCTATATCTATATTTCATTTTTTATCCTGAAATTTTTTAGACTACAAGTATCACTTAAGAAAGGTGAAGCGTAGTGGGTTAATGATTCCATTCAATATAAGTATGGTTCTCTGGTTCGATCCGATCCTGCAAAACCGAGCTTATTGTGACATTGCGATTGGCAAACTGAAACCAAAACGTGGGCCCGCACAATATAGTCAATCATAATAACAGACTTTTTCTCCCTACAAGCTAGTGTTCAAATGAAGTTTAGGTTGAAAGCTTACAGCAATGAAAACCTCAGTTTCTTCGAAAAAAAGGACATCTTTGTTACAATGTAGGTAGGACCTTAGAATCAAAAACACACATCCCAGTTTACTGTGGTTCGCATATTCGTACAAGAGCCAACCGAATCACTACATTTACGTCAAAAGTAAAAATTCATTTATTCTATAACGGAAGAATTCTACGATTCTGCAGCTCTAAATAATTTTCGCATCAAAGCTGAGCTGCTAGAATAGCGAAATTATTGAGCTAACGGCTTGTGCCGGTCCGAACAAGAAATTCGTGCGTCGACAAAGACCTAACCTTGAAGGGTGTGTAGGGTTTACCACCCTAGGACTACAGTTTTCCAGCATGGCATCAGACATTATCCTGATTTTATTCGGCGTTCCAAATAAACACGTAAAATTTCTTTGTTACCTTACCAACACTGATCAGATGATAAACTAACTTTGGTATATTCCAGCGCGACACTAAAAGCCATTAAGCAGATGTATCTATCTAAGGTGGAGGCATAGCGATGGTCTGGTACGAACAAATCAAAATTCGAGGAATACACAAGCAAGAGCAGCATTCGATGTCAGCAAGGAGAAAAGATGGCAGGTCTTTAAGGTGAAGATGAACGTGCACACGAACCCAAAGAATTCTACAGATGGAAGGAAACCAGTAGAGAAAGTACAAGGATTTGCACGATATGTGAAAACGGGACATGTGTACGTCTAAGCAAATAAGTATTTAAGTACAATGATGGTGAGATACTTGCAAAACTCCGAACCACAGGTGGCTGAGATGGGAACGAACGCGCTATTACCGTTTTTGGGGCTGACGCGTTCACCACCACAACGGGTTTCACGTGTCTCTCAACTAGCACAAATAAGAATTTAGTTTTTCTTTTTTTCCCTAGTTAAATTTTTCAAAAAAACGACAAAGCAGACATCCGTTTTGATGGATTACTGATTATAGAAAGTCTAATGAATACAACGATATTATCAGTTGCTTACTAGAGCTTGACAGTAGGTCTGAGGAGACGAAGTGGGAGAAATCGGCAAAATAGGATGGCTTGGATTAATGGTCGAACATTGTTATATCCATTATTTTTGAAACTTTCATGACAGTTAAAAGTCGAAACTGATAATTTTGATTCAATACAAAGAACTTAAACTATTTTATAATCTTTTATTGATTATGGATGTTCCCAATTTCGATTGCAGAGGAAAAATAGAGAAAAAAATTTCGAAGGTTAGTTTTAGGAAAAGTCTTAAGAAATGGAAATAAGACTCATGCTTTATAACTCGTATATAATGCTGAGATATTTGCCAAACTCCGGGCCGTAGTTGTATGTGCTACTACCCGGAAAGGACAATAGCGCGTTTGTTCCCCACTGCATGCACTTGCGGTCCGGAATTTTGCAAATATCTCAGCATTATATACGAGCTATATTTCGCAAAATACCCTGCCATTAAAAAGAAAAAAGCAGTAAATAAAAGGGTTAGGATTATTCATGATTTATGTTGAAGGTTTCGAAATTCCTAGGACAAACGGTCAATTGGTGTTCTGGTCCTGTATTGAATGGTCATCCATTTGACTCGCAAGTGATCCCTTGAGAATTCGCTATGAAAAAAGATGAAAAAATTCCTACAAAAAGACCCTATGAGAAAAAAGTTTATTCTAGCTGATAGCTTTAACAAAGTGTATAAAATATTACCACCACTGTCTTTGTCCAACGCTTTACGGGATTATGACCAATTCGGAGGAAATCTATGTCAGCAGAGATGTTTACACTGAGGCATCGCAGAAGCAATTTGGAGTTGGAGCAGTCTCTCGTCAATATTTTTCGTACAAACTACACTGCTATATGTCAAATGTCAAGATTTTCATGTTCTGTTCTAATTTCAGGCATACATACGAAACTAACACGATACTTGATAATACTTGATATGTAAATGGCCCGTCCTCACTGGTTGCGCAGGTTTCAGCATAATCTCCATCTCTCGTAGATTTGCTGATTAAGCCATTGTAGTTTCCTGTAGTCCCGAGGTCAGCCTAACCAAAGTCTGCCCAGGTCGTCACTACCACAGGCAGTTCCCTCCCTTATGGATCACAGGGAGACTTACCACTATGCGAGTAGTTTGATACCAGGACGGTGGTGGTTCCTGGTATTTGTTTACCATAAAGTGGGCTTCCTAATGGAAAAGCCGGAGGACTTTCAGCTTAGGCGGACCCTACCGGGGGATGAATCCCCCGCTGTACATTGCAGCCTGACACCCGGGATCACCTAGCCAAGATGAGGCGGTAAACTATTGGGAGTTTAGGTTCATTAAACTAACACTATACTAGTTTTCAATCTATTTTTACCTATTTGCACTATCTAACATCACATGTTTTGCTGATTTTAGCATTTCCACTCGATTCCTTTTCTCCCATCCATCACCCAACAATGCATTCGGAGTTTTGTGAGTTCATCTGCTGTTTGAGCAATTTAGGTTTCCTTTATGGACGAATTGCCGTCGAATGATTGTTGAGTAGCCTATCCATGGAATGAAACCTGGTCCAGCACTACTAGGATGTTTCTATGCGTTCACCACAAGTGCCCTTGGAAACTGGTGGGTTGGAGGTGGCTTTTCACAGACTAGGCTACAGGGAATTAGAATCTACAGAGATGGATGAAAGCTTGGTTGGCCGAGAAAAGATTAGAGCCAGTGGAAGTGAATGTATTCAACGGCATCTAACCATGCAACACTCTACTGCTGGATGTAGTAGAATCCGTTTCTTTCCTATCTCATCCTGGGGGTTCGTTCGCGCCTGATTTTTTGGGTTATTGAAGCTTGCCTGCAGTTTACTGCATCCTTTATCCGACAAATTTCGTAAGTTCTCAGTAATGGTGCTAAAATCGTGAACCAAATTTGGTTCTTGTTGTTACATAATGCAATTGTCGAATTAGAAGCTGTTTTGCATAACCCTGCCTTACGATTGAAAAAAGTTGTTTTTTTACTTTTAGTTAAAAACTAAGGAACGGAGCTAATGAAGTGTAAAGCTGTGCTGCGTGATACCGCATATTCTTAACATTGAGGAAGTCAGATATTTTTAGAACTACCAGATGATTCGAAAAATTTCGTGGAATACACTCTCCTTTGAGGATTTTGGCTTTGCTGACTAGGTAAAGAGTTTTCCTTTTCGTATTTCTCTGTCAGCATTACGACTGAATATGAGAAATATTAAATTTACTTGCTGTTTAGCATTCATAGCTTTAAAGAAAAATATTTAGTTGAGTAGCAACCTTAGTATCTGGGACGGATTTAATACATGTTTCGAAGAAGATTCCTTAAATGCCCACAACGCTCTTTAAAGAAAAATTATAAAAGGCTGTAAAAAAACATAAGAATTAAGTGATGACGTCACGGTGACGTCATGAATTCGGTGTAGCTAATATAAAAGCTGCAACAAAATTTGGTCTACTGGTGCAATATTCTCCTCATTTCTTCATGGTTAATTTCTTGGTGTGATAGAAAGAAGCCTTATCATATGCAAGTTGAGAGTTATTGTTGTGGAAAATAGGCTGCCTAAGTCCCAAAAATTTTGTTCAGTGTTGTTCAAATTTGGAACAATTCTAAACGATATCAGAACGTATTCTGTGATTGCGGCCTGATTTCAAGTGGGGTGCTTTTTAGGATTTTCAAAAATATTACGAATAATTTCGATACGCTAATGTGATTAGGAGAAGTCGAGTCATAATAAATTAACGGGTAAGCGAGTTGTACAAAAAGACCTGAAGATTTTTTTCTGCGAAAAAGGAGGTTGTAAAAAATCTTCTGCAATACCTGGTTTGCAATTGTGTTTTTATTCCGAAAAGAAATTTCCTAACTTCGTTCTCCATACATAGGTCGAAAAATCGATCGATATCCTCTTAAGAAGACGGAAATCAGTGAATCTTTGAGCACTCAAATGGCGCGGTACCTAGGCTATTCTTGAGGAATATTCATTGCCTTAAAGTGACTATCGTCTAAAATGCCTTAATTCCAATACCATTTGAATCGCTATCTTTTTTAAAAGATTCCAGGAATCCGAAAATGAGTCGCAGGGAGGAATGCCTCATAATCACGCGTGATTTTGGGCAGTGTCATTTTAAATGAAATCTTGGTATAGCACATTCCCTGTTTTGACGTGGAGGTGTTTGGTTGAGTAGATTGGTCAACTTGACCTTCCCAGGCTCCGAGGAAGGCGAACTCCGCCGAAAAGTCAGCTTGTTCTTGAATAAAGAATAAGGTAACACCTCGCGTTTGTATTTGCCTTCTATGAAGCAGAAGAAAGTGGTAGACACCCTGGGTGAGGAAAATGCTCAAATGAGGAATTGGTTTGGTGCGATATGTGGGCATGAAGACGGAAAAAGTTTAGAATTGCCGTTCCCTGGAGACAACAACACGACACCCTCCCACTTTTCACACTCGCAATGGGCAGAGTCGATCAGGCTATTTTGTAGAATTTTCTCTTGTACTACTATTCATTGACTCGTTAAAAAAAGATAAGCCAACACAAAATAACAAATTGTCAGTATCGTTCACATAAAACGGGATGATGCAGGGAAGCTTGCTATCTGAAAGCAACATATAGTTCACCACCATTTCCTTCCTGGTTGTCGCTTTCCGTCGTTGTTGACATGAGTATTGAAACTTGCAAGGGTCGTAGTCGATATTCCTAAGACTCGACACGGCCCTTGTTACCACACTTGGAACTACGCTCAGAACTGCGCACATTTTCGACTGTCGCCTTTCCGTCATCAAATAGTAACCGTAAGAGCTCATAGGTACAACAGAATAATAGTCCGATGCACTCCATCTCTACTGCAGCGCTCACTGACACAGCATATTTCACCCGTAATGGAGGAAACACCCGCGTTCCAGCGATGTTCTTCTGGGCGGTTAGCGCTTTCATCTCTTTTAGATTGCAAATTTGTACGGAATGTTTCGAGCTTTCTCATTTTGATAGGAAAATAGGGAAGACATTATAAATCATTTCGTTGTTTGGTCATCGTTGTTCAGCGGAAATTGTTGAATTAACAGTTTGCGATTCGAAGAAGATCATCAATGCGATGCGAAAGACTTGTTCAACGATTGGAAAAAAATGTCTATAGGTGTATCAATTCTAAACGTCTAAGTGTTTCACTTGAATAAATCTGAAAGTTGAGATTGCCCTCTAATACCAACGGTTAATCCCCATGACTCACTTTCTGTTGACCTCGTCAGTAACCAAATACTTCTCCATATTCTTGTTGAGTAAACGCGAGGTGTTACAATTTTCGAATCGACAATCATTTAACCTCGGTATTGAAATAATCAACATGTTTTTAAAATGTTGAGGTTACATGGGGTTGATAAAGAACAACTATGGAGCACTGACGCGGATCGGCTTTGATGAAGACGAATAACGTCGAAACGTTAGCCGAAACAAACATGCTTATCGATCTCGTGTAGGCTGAGCAATTTAAACACAAGGTGTTACTCTAACAAATAATAACAGGCGTTGCTTCAATACCTCGTGTTTACTCAACAAGAATATCGAGAAATATTTGATCACTGCGGAAGTTAGTAGAAAGTCAGTCATTGGGTTTAACCGTTGATATTAGAGCACAATCACAACTTTCAGATTTATACAAATGAAACGCTTGGACGAGTGGAATCTATACATCAGTTGATAGTTTCTGCCAATCGTTGAATAGGTCGTCTGCTTCGCACTGATGATCTTCTTCGAATCGCGACCATTCACAGACAGATTGTAAGGCACGTAGACGTACTTCAGGGCGTAGTCCAACTGAAATTGGAAAAGGAAAGCTATTCACAACTGCAGAAGTATGGTATTTGTTCAACTGCGTCCTCATGTGTTCATCCTGTGAGATGTGACTGACATCAAACATCTTAATCAGCTAAGAATAAAACACATGCAAGAATTTTTTTTATTTCGTTACACGAATTACTACCAACAGACTCTGTTTGACAACAACCGGGTACAATAAGTTATAACAATAGATTACTTATAATGTTGTTTATCCAGCGACATCAGCAGCTAGAACTGTGTATGAACGATCTTAATTTTGAGCTGGTGACGAAATATGGTTTCCTGATTGCTTGTGTGCGATAACAGTTTGTCCGCTCTACACAATAGGTCCTCACAAAGTTTCCCGAGTTGTCTTTAGCAATAAAATTTCGCTTAAGTGCACACATCGGAGAGGTCGGAAGAAGAAATTTGTATAAATTGAAAGCCACTTAATTATGTAGTTGATCGCACTCTTGTCTGTCAACAATGAGTGTTCTTAAAAGCCATACTAAGCAACAGTATAATACCAGTAGCTTTAAACATTTTCAACTGCTCGCCAATCATTGTAAACTTAGATGACCCTTCTTCATGTGCTCGGTGGCCGATTCGACTTTTATTCAATTCGTTATTTTCATCTCCTTAGGTGTTCCGGCTCTTGTATATGTTTAGCTGAGTATTTGAGCTCCGTCGAATTCTGTACATAATAGGATGCCTAATGGTGGTTAAGCGTGGTTTTTCTTAGAATCCCGATTCAAATTATTAGGCAAGAAAGTCACTGAACCTTAGGAGTAGGTAGTAGTCTTGCTTCCTTGTTTAGGTTGTTGTCTATAACTCTTTCCGCAACGGCTTCTGCGATTTCGGTAACAATGTTCTATGTTTTACCTTTTGTTTTCCCCCTAAGACAATTTTCACGGCAGGGTACAAGAGAAATACAACCACAACGTTACTGTGACATTTGAAAAACTCTGGATTGCAGGTGTCTACGGTGGGGAACGAACGCGCTATTGTCTTTTCCGGGGAGTAACGCGTTCACAAACACAACATACAGGTCCTTCGTTTCGCCTGTCTCTCAGCTATTTCTATCGATTTCCGCCACAGCAATCACCCGTCAGCGGAATTGATCTGGGGAGCCAAAATCGGCAATGAACCCAGTTAAGCTGAGGCTTTTGTTATAATCACAATCTCAACTTATTATTTACTGCCTACTGTTTTTAATGGCAAGGTATATTGCGGAATATAACTTCATTTATGCTGAGATATTTGCAAAATTCCAGACCGAAGAACTACCCAAGAGGCAGGCGAGACGATGGACCCGCATGATGTGGAGGTGAACGCTTTACTCCCCGGAAAGAACAATAGCGCGTTCGTTCCCCACCGTAGACACCTGCAGTCCAGAGTTTTGCAAATATCACAGTTACGTTGTGGTTGTATTTCGCTCAGTACAATGTTCTATGTTATACTCAGCAATAATTAGATTTGAAAATCTTAAAGTCCTATGAAACGAGTACGATCATCTCGATCTCCGTCTACAACACCAGTTAGCTTTTACGTAGGACGCAAGACGATGCTTTCCAACCATTATTCGTTTCTTCAATCCGTCAAATGTTCTAGTTTTTCATATTCAACACACCAAGGCCAAAAGGACAATGGTGTACTCCACTGCCATCCACTAAGTTACATTCTTTACATTCGTCAATATGGTCCTGCCTTGTTTACATCGATGCAAATCAAGTCGAACGCCTTCACCACGTCGTCATGGCATTTAGGGTCGTCGGCAGGTTCTTGTTCCTCGATCATTTGTTTTCTAGATTTTTACTCTTTCCATTACTGCAGTGAGAACGAGCACATTGCTTACGCATTGCTGATCGCAGCAGAACTGTTTGAGTAGGGCATAATAATCACGATACCTGTCGCTAGGGTTAAAGGATAAAAGAAAGGATAAGAAACACAAAGAAAGGATAAGAAACACATTGTTTCGCCTGTCTCTTAGCTAGCTTTATCGATTCGTGCTATCAGCAATCACCCGTCAACTGGGTTTTCTAAAGGGCTTAAAAATTTTATCGAACTCTCCTAAGTTCTTCAAAAAAGAACTACAAATCGCCACCAAGACGTTGCTCAAAAAAGGGAAACACTGGGGTTTTTTCCACTGCACTAACACCTTCGATGTCAGTCGCAATGGATTTTTACATGACTTCTTACATCGGCACAGGTGGTGAAATCAATAGAAGAAATTCGAGAAGGGCCAGCTTGAGAATGTGCCGTCAGGTTCTTCGTCACCGTTCTCCGATTGAGCGTAGACTGCAAGGTCTTCCGAAAATTATGGTATTACGGATATGAAGAACTTTTTGGAAGAGGTACAACCTGTTTAACAAGCCAGATCTCGATAATAGTTGTGGAATAACATCTGCTTGTTATCCTAGTTTTTGCTCACAATGAAGAAAAGTAAAAACGAATGCAATCCATTTTCGCTCATCTATGAAAGAGTAGGTTCATTCTATACAAAAACTCTAGCAGATCTATCGTAGCTGCAGCGCAAAAACGCACTTTTTCATCGACCCTTCGCCAATAGGAAAAGGGGTTCGACAAGGTGGTACCATCTCGGAAAAGTTGTTTACATGCAACCTAAGATACACCGAGGTTTACAATTTGTTTTTCTTGGATTGATATTATAAACGGTTCGGTTACCCAAGTTTGAGTTTTGAAATATTGCTCAGCAACAACTACGAAAAAGTCTCGCGTAGCAACTTCTACGAAGTTGAGCATTCTACTCAAAGGTAGCGATTGTAAGATGCCGAAAAGTGAAACGAAGGCCTAAATTCCACTAGCAACCACGACACTCACCACGGTTGCTGGTAACGAAGTTAGACGAAGAGGAAAAAATGGGTCACATATCGACGGCATTTTTTGTCACTTATTTGTTTCGATAACGATGCCTACATTCTTTCGATCACTGCTTCGAGAAGTATAAGCAATTCAGAGATGAACCTTAACGCTTAACGACTTTCATGAATTCCGGGATGAAACCGCTTATTTCAAGAAGCTAAGCGCACACTTGACGCTTTCCGAGAGTTTCGCGCGGAAAACGCTAATTTTAAGGTTTAGCGCACATTTGATGGCTTTATTTCGGCTCGCTCGGAAACCGCTCATTTCAACAGGATAAGCGCATATTTGACGACAGCAACCTATTCGGCCAAACACCTTCACAACCAAACAGAGAAAACGCCAAACCAAGATTTTAACCAGATGAAATTACCGTTTTCCAAGCGAATGTCAGTAAAGCCAACAGGGGCTTCTGTATATCAGTATACCCTTCCAGGCTCTGAAGAAGGCGATACTGCCGAAACGTCAGCTAGAGTTGTATTGTATTGTGTTTTTTATGGAAGTATATCTATCGTATCTATCGTATCTACCTATCTACCGGAACTATCGTTAAATGTGCCCTAAACTTTGAAACGAGCGTTTTCCGAGTTTGCTGAGATCCTCGTAAAATGCTTATTTCAAGGTTTAGCGCGCTTTAGGCGAACTCTTTACCCTTTAGGATACTTTCATCTCAATTGGTGGCGCCAGTACAATAACGGAATTTACTTAAGTGTCGAGAAAGTGAAGATCTCTTCGTTTGATTTTTGCTGCTCTAGAAGAGTCCTTTGACTCAGATGAGGCGGAAGCATTCCTGAAATCATACGGAGAGCAATTGTATTCCTGTTCAGCAAGCATAGATCCATTTTGAGCTATATAACGGAACCATGCATAACAGCATTCTGTAAAAACGTTGTTACTAGGATAATGTAAGATTCTAATCCGCATCTAAAAGCTTCTCAGAGACTGCTAATTGTTATTCATTGACAGGCCTTCTATTACTCCCGTTCTAATCAAGTGTGCTGTCAAGCACTTTGCAATCTAGTCAGTTAAACACCTCCATAACCAAAACTGGAAAGACATGAAACCATAATTTGAGTCGTATCAAGAACAAATTAGGTTCTTCTCAAATTCACCGCTTGTGTGAGCTTTCCGCTAAGGGTTTCACGTGGATACTAACCGCACAGAGTCCATCCACACGAGTGGGAAATGTGTCTCACTCACACTAAAAGATCATTTTTAGATAGTGTGCAAGATCACTTGTGAGGCATTTCTACCAGCGGTTGATTTTTAGATCCTTAGAATTTTTCCGCAATGTTTCGAAAGTTTTGCGTTTTGCTTCGACCAAGTTTTGGATTTCTTTCTACGATGGTAACTTCTAGTTCAAAATCTTTTCCGTTGTGTCTTCGTGCTTTATGCGTCCCTAACGTCGTGTTCTATTTGACTTCAGTTTTACCGTACGTGTGTTCTTCTATATAAACGCATTGCGGCCTACCCAATTCGCCAATGTATTCGCCCACGCAATTCACCTACAAGAGATCGAAGGAATCATACCCGAAGTTATACAATCACCGTCTCTACCGCTAGGAAAGGTTCTGTAATTTTGCGTTCTACGTAGACGACGTCTGTGGTGCAGTCGTCAGAGGCGCCATGCAACACACACCTGGGATCAATCCTAGCGCCTATCGCCCAGCAAACCTTACATCCCTTCTGGCACTGCAACTTGGTACCAGACTTGTCTGGGAGGACAGCAGCACTGTCTCGATATATCGGTAGGTCGCTGCGAATCAATGTAAAGACCAGATACGCATTCCGTCACCTCCAAACGGCTCCTAGTGAAGTCGAATGCATGGCGCATCCCTGAAGGGATAGACTATCGCCCAGAGCTTTATCGTTCTTATGTAAACCCTCATACAGGCGGTTGCGAGCAATCTGGTGTATTAGGGTGCTGTGGAATTTCAGTGAGTGTGCGAAAAAGCCATTTTGTTTTCCAGTGGGATTGAAATCTTGATCTAGTGTTTTCTCTGTTTTGGTTGTGGAGGTGTTTGGCTGAGTAGATTGCAGTCAGCTTGATTTTCCAGGCTCTGATAAAAACGAAATCTGAGGAAACGTCTTCTTGTTTGTAAATTAAACGACAACTTCGTGTTTGCTTATCAGAAATGCAATAAATTTTTCGATCAATGCGGCGGTTGATCAAAAAACGCTCTTTGGAATTACTTCAGGGAGAATTCACCGAGAAAAGCTGTCATCTGAGTTTTTGGAGCTGTCACTTATTTTTCAGAATCCCATTTGCTGGAAAGCCCTTCTGTCAGCCAAATGGTGTTGATATCTGCTTTGGACTGAACATCGACTAATCGGTCAGCCCAAATTTGCTAAAATTCAATGATTTAGTAGTGATGCAGTGCCTTGCAAATTTCTCGCCTTAAACATTCTTTCTGCATCTTATATTGAATACGATAAAGCGGACGAAGGCTCGGTAGTCCGATTTTGAGCTGTAAGAAAATCTTTGTTATTCGGTGGATTCGATTTTCTCTTTACAGGGAGATTTGGTAACGAGCGCAAATTTCCTAAATGTTCTTCAAGGCAATTCACAAAGTGTAACACTAAACGATTTATTGCTAGGTGAGTAATGAAGCCAGAAAAAGAACGTTATTTGCTGAAAAACCATGCAAAAATTCGTAAATTTGGCCAATCTAATGATACCATCTTCACGTACTTTACTGACCACGGCGGAGTTGGTCTACTTGAGTTTTCTAACGATCTGGTAAGAAACTGGCACAACGTTCTTCACAAGTCGTAGGAATGACTAACTATCGATTTGAACCATGTGTTTCAATGACTGTTCTGTCACATATCATATTCCAGCTAACGAAGGGTGCTTCGAACACGGCGCTCCTACAAAGGTACTACAACAAGAGCTGTGGTCAACTAGTATTCTGCCTGGAATCATGTGAAAGCGGTTCAATGTTTGAGGGAACACTGTGGAAAACTAATTTTAACTCATTATTTACTGCCTACTGTTTTCAATGGCAAGGTATGTTGCGAAATATAACTTCAATGATGCTGAGATATTTACAAAACTTCGGACCGCAGGTGTCTGCGGTGGGGAAGGAGCTATTGTCCCTTCCGGGGGCTGACGCGTTCACCACCACACCATGCGCGTCTTTCGTCTTTCCCTCAGCTGGTTCTATCGACCAGTGCCATCAGTCTTCGTATGTCAACATCTTTCTGGTTGCAATTTACATCACAAATGTTTTTCCCCTCAACTTTTCTAGATTCAAGCAAAAGGAGTACTTTGCACTCAATTGTACAATTTAAGATAGACGCAACATTGAAGATCTATGTAACAGCCTATAAACCAATATTCTTCCTGGCCCTAGCGGCTTGTGGCGCAGTGGTTGGAGGCGCCACTGTGATACATACGTGGAGTCGATTTCCGCCCCTATGGCCCACTATGCCTTCTATCCCTCCGGGTCCGCAAATTGGTACCAGACTTGTCACTTGTCACTTTTCTAGGAGGAAAGCAGCACTGATTCGATACGGTGCATTCAATCACCTCCGACGATACTTAATGAAGTCAAGTGCATGGCGCATCCCTCAGGGATTGATAAACGCCGAGAGCTTTATCCTTTCTTTTATCCTTTAGCCCTAGCAACAGGTATCGTGATTATTATGCCCTACTCAAACAGTTCTGCTGCGATCAGCAATGCGTAAGCAATGTGCTCGTTCTCACTGCAGTAATGGAAACAGTAAAAATCTAGAAAACAAATGGTCGAGGAACAAGAACCTGCCGATGACCCTAATTGCCATGACGACGTGGTGAAGGCGTTCGACTTGATTTGCATCGATGTAAACAAGGCAGGACCATATTGACGAATGTAAAGCACGTTTTTTTCTAATTTCAAAGTCTGGCACACATTTGAGGGCTTAATTAGGATTCACTTGGAAAACGCTTATTTCAATAGGTTAACCCCACATTTGACTTTTTCCGAGAGTTTCGCTCGGATAACGCTAATCTCAACGTTTAGCTCACATTTGACGGCCTGATTGAGATTCGTTCGAAAAACGCTAATTTTGATAGATTAAGCCCGTATTTGGCCATTTCCGGGAATTTCTTTCGGTGAAGGCTTATCTCAACGTTTGCGCCGCGTTTGGCGATTTTTTTGAACTCCAGGAGGGAAACGTTTATTTGGAGAGGCTAACGGGGCATTTGACGTTTTCTGAGGGTTTCTTCCGGAAAACCATATTTCAAGAGGTTAAGCCCACATTTGATAACTTTCGTGAGTTTCGCGCAGAATAAGCTTATTTCAGGAGTTTAAGCGCACATTTAACGTTTTCGGAATTTTTCACTCGTAAGCCCTAACTTTGAGGCTTAGCACACGTTTGACGTTTTCCGAGAGAAACTCTCGGAGAACGCTTCTTTCAAAGTCTAACGCACAATTGACGTTTTTAGAGAGTTTCGGCTTGGAAAGACTTATTTCAACGTTAAGCGCACATTAAACGTTTTTCCAGAGTGTCGCTCAGAAACCACCTATTTCCAGGTTTAGCTCACATTTGTCGTTTTTCAAGAGCTTCGCACGGAAGACGGTTGTTTCAAAGCTTAGCATACATTTGTCTTGAAAACCAGTGTTGTTTTGTTGTTAACTTCTGTTTTTGTTGTTGTTAATTGCCCCAACTTGTTGTTCTTAACAACTATCATTTGCTGTATTTAAGTGTTCTTACTTGTTGTTATTAACTACTGTTATTTGTTATTATGCTGCTATGTGTTCTTGTTTATTGCTGTTATTTTTTGTCAGTAACGGATGCTGTTTGTTCTATTTAAGAGCTTTTAATTTTTGTTATTAACTTCTGTTATTTGTTTTTATTTGGTGCCGTTACTTGTTGTTTTTATCTGCTGTTATTTGTTCTGCTGTTGACAACTGTTTTTTATTGTATTTGAGTGCTCTTATTTGTTCTTATTTTCTTCCTTTATTTGGTGTTATTAGCTGCAGTTATTTTTTGTTGTTAATTGCTGCTATTTGTTATTATTAGCTGCTGTTATTTGTCGTTATTATCTGCTCTTACTTGTTTTTATTAATTGATGTTACTTGCTGTTATTGACTGTTGTTGTTTATTGTTATTAACTCCTGTTAATTATTTTTGTTAACTGCTGTGATTTGTCGTTATTAATTGCTATTATTTGTGCATATTTGCTTGCCCCCGCATGCTTCATGAACTCCATTTCTTGGCATTTGTATGAAACCCAATCCACTTTCGCATTTTGTTGGAAGCGTTAAGGTTCATCTCTGAATTGGTTACACTTCTCGAAGCAGTGATCGAAAGAATGTAGGCATCGCTATCGAAACAAATAAGTGACAAAAAATGCCGTCGATATGTGACCCATTTTCTCCTCTTCGTCTAACTTCGTTACCAGCAACCGTGGTGAGTGTCGTGGTTGCTGGTGGAATTTAGGTCTTCGTTTCACTTTTTGGCATCTTATAATCGCTACCTTTGAGTAGAATGCTCAACTTCGTAGAAGTTGCTACGCGAGACTTTTTCGTAGTTGTTGCTGAGCAATATTTCAAAACTCAAACTTGGGTAACTAAACCGTTTATAATAATCCAAGAATAATGAAATGTAAACCTCGGTGTATCTTAGGTTGCATGTAAACAATTTTTCCAAGATGGTACCACCTTGTCGAACCCCTTTTCCTATTGGCGAAGGGTCGATGAAAAAGTGCGTTTTTGTGCTGCAGCTACGATAGATCTGCTAGAGTTTTTGCATAGAATGAGCCAACTCTCTCATAGATGAGCGAGAATGGATTGCATTCGTTTTTACTTTTCTTCATTGTGAGCAAAAACTAGGATAAGAAGCAGATGTTATTCCACAACTATTATCGAAATCCAGCTTGTTAAACAGGTTGTACCTCTTCCAAAAAGTTCTTCATATCCGTAATACCATAATTTTCGGAAGAGCTTGCAGTCTACGCTCAATCGGAGAACGGTGACGAAGAACCTGACGGCACATTCTCAAGCTGGCCCTTTCTCGAATTTCTTCTATTGATTTCACCACCTGTACCGATGTAAGAAGTCATGTAAAAATCCATTGCGACTGACATCGAAGGTGTTAGTGCAGTGGAAAAAACCCCAGTGTTTCCCTTTTTTGAGCAACGTCTTGGTGGCGATTTGTAGTTCTCTTTTGAAGAACTGAGGTGAAGTACAACTCGTATGAGATGCTGAGATATTTGCAAAACTCCAGACCACAGGTGTATGTAGTGGGGAACGAAACGCGCTGTTGTCCTTACCGGGGATTTCGCAACATAACCTGCCATTAAGAAGCAAAAAAAGGCAGTAAATAAAAGACTTAAGAACTGAGGAGAGTTCGATAAAATTTTTAAGGCCTTTAGAAAGCCCAGTTGACGGGTGATTGCTGATAGCACTAATCGTCAAAGCTAGCTAAGAGACAGGCGAAACAATGTACCCGCATGGCGTGGTGGTGGACACGTTAGCCCCGGAAGGGGTAATAGCGCGTTCGATCCTCACTGCACACACCTGCGGTCTAGATTTTTGCAAATGTCTCAGCATCATTGTGGTTGTGCCACACATAATGCCCTGCCGTAAAAAATAGTATTGACAGCAAATAAGAAGTTCAAATTATGCCGAAACAATTCGATGTTTTCCTTCAATAAGCAGACACGAGGTTTTTATTATAGAATTTATTAGGATACACTAGCTAACGTCTCGGCGGTTTCGTCTTCTTCAGAGCAGTTTATTTGTTGCAAGTATTTAAGTTAGTTGATAATTCTGTTATCGCCGATGTATTACTCTGTGCGGCTGCTATCAATCAACTAACTTAAAAACTTGCCACAAATAAACGACTCTGAAGATGGCGAAACTGCCGAAACGTCAGCTATTGCATTCTAATAAATTCTATAATAACAACCTCGTGTCTGCTTATTGAAGGAAAACATCGAATTATCAATCAATGCGGAGGTTAACAGAAAGTCGGTCTTGGGAATATGCCCGAATAGTTCCAAATCTCAGACCACAGGCCAGGTTCGAACCCACTCCTGCCTTGTATTATCCACTTTTCCACCCTCATGGTATTATCAGCAATCGCACTTCAACAGGAGTAATCTGGGGAGCACAAATCGGCGTTACACCCAGTTAAGCTGAGGCTGTAGCCAATATCATAATGCTAACCTTTTATTTTCTGCTTACTGAAATTTTCCACGGCATGGTATTATGTTAAATACAACCATAATAAACATGAGATATTTGCAAAACTCTGGATCGCAGGTATCTGCGGTGTGTATCGAACGCGCTATTACTTTTCCGGGTATTAACGCGTAGCGGAGGACACGCATGGTGGTGGGTTGCCCGCGTTTGCTCACGAAAAGGGTGATTGCGCGCGTTCGTTTCCCAACGCAGTTTCCTGCGGTTCGGAGTTTTGCAAATATCTCGTCATTACTGTGGTTGTATTCTGTAGAATACTCTACCATAGAAAATTTTAGTAGGCTACAAATAAAAGTTAACAAAGCGTAGGTTGCTCAGGTAAAGGCTAAAAGAAAATTGGAGTTTAAAACAGTGGTGTTTTCTGTTCATTTTTCTTCGGATTACTCTGTGATAATAGTAGAAGAGCCGCCCGGAATATATTCTGGAAACCGTCCTCCACTAAACTTCGGCAAGAGCACTCAAAACTTTTCTATATAACAGCTAACAACGGTTTTTATAAGTGTTAACATACTGTCAGCAAATGATGAACCAACTGCTATAGGACGCACTACCCGCCAAAGTACAAATAGTGTTGGATGGCGGGAATCTACCAATATCCGTCCAATATATAAGTGGACCCCACCGAGTGAGGTACCCCATACTGAGTGATGCTCTGTCCAGTGGATTCGACTTGATGCGACAACGAGCAAGTGTGGATTATCGACTCGGATCAATGAGGTTCTGAGGAAGGAGAAGCAGCCGAAACGCTGGTCGAATAAAAGTTTAAATCGTTCTCGTGTTAGCTCAGTCATCGAGAAAATTATTCAACCAAAAAGCCTTGCCACTAAAAAAGAAAGAGGAAAGGCTCTGAATCAATCTTTGCAAAGATTGGTGGAACGTGGTTTCTCAAGTATAGTATTCAACGGTGATGTTACAAACATTTTTCGCAAGTGAAATGCATTGACACTGTTATTATACATCTTATAAGAGAATAAAAAAACAAATAGTGGATGAAGGCTTGCAAAATCAGCGGCACACTCGTATGAAGAATCGATTAATTCAGAAACTTTAAGCAAACATTAACAAAGCTGAAGCTCTCGACGTTGATCAATCCCTGAGGAATGCACCATGCATTCGGTTTCATTATGCATCGTTTAGAGGTGATCGAATGCATATCTGACCTCTACAATAACTTGCAGTGGCCTCCCAATGTATCGGGCTAATGCTGTTATCTGCCCAGGCAAGTCTGCTAACAGTTTACGACCCCAGAGGGATAGAAGGCTTGGTGGGCCATGAGCGTGAGGATCGGTTCCACGTGTGTATTGCAGGGCGCCTCTGACCACTGCGCCACACGCGCCCCAAGCAAACATTAAGGCGCAATAATTTTGTTGGTTAGTGTCAGAAAAGATGGCTTTACTACCAGAAGATCTATCAAATTATGGCATGTAGCTTGAATAATTCTATCGAATCTCCTATGAAGATGGTAGTTGACTTCTTTGGAGAGAGATTCTTTCTAGAACTGGATAATATGTAGAATTGTTTTAGACATTTCCCGTCCGAAATCTTTAGCACTTTTTAACGCTATTTCACTACAAAGAGCAACTCTATAATAAAGTTTTATCACAAAATTGTAGACATTTGATACGGATATTCAAATAATTATAGTAGGAGCACTGTCATCATCGAAAGTCACAAAAAATTGACTTGGTGAAGGAAAAAAGATTTTCTTTTTAGTAAAAACTATGCTGTATAGATAAGTGGACCGGCGTGATGTATTCTTGAGTTGATAGCCAGGAAGAGACAAATACTCACACCAGAGAGGAAAGTTATTGCAGAAAACAATAGCGCCAAAGTTAACCTCCAAACGCATCTCTTAAGACAAAGTGGTGATTTTTAGTGAAGAAAACTACATCCAAGAAATCTGTTTACCTGTATGTCACTATTAGTAGGGTCTGTGTCTTCCAAACATGATCGCTTTTCCATTTCTGAATGAGGAACCTTTATGTTATCTCGATTGATGACTTCTAATTCTTTAGCTAAATAGATCTATAATTGGTTAAATACGAAAAAAGAAAGAACACTAGAGTGATCCATGTAAAATCCACCGACTATTTTTGTAACCGAGTCTGTGAGTGAGACAGCTTTGAATCAACGGAGGCAAAGAATAGAATTTTGCTACAGAAACAAGTTTGAGAACGATTTTAAAAAAAGGAAAAAAGCGGAAGCTCATCGGAGCCGAAGAGCTACAGCGTTTGTTTTCATCGATCTCTTGATCAGCAACTATCGAAAAAAAACTTTGAAATTCTTGTAAAGAACAGAACAACCTCTAAATCCATGAATAACCCTGAACTATGTTCCATTAAAAAAAAAACTTTAAGTATTCTGTTATGCGCGTATGGAATCTTAGAAATGACATTACCAATGTCGGGAAGCTCAAGGACCTCTATAGAGGAAGACGAAACATCGACATCGTGACTACGCCGTACTGCGTCTCGTGAATTTCGAACGTTTCTGAAGAAATTGTTAAAATTCCAAATTATTTGTGTAGAATTGAAGAACGGTGAAAATCAGAGAAAATCTAAAATTCTGCAAAAAATGGCTTATAAGAATTACACAGCCGTTTGGGAAAATTCGAACGAATCCAGTAGCCCTAGTTAAGAGAACAATTCTTTGTTCAATCAGCGATTTTTTTGCTACCCATCCTGGTTAACCACAAAAAATTCTGATAAGTTTTCAGCGAGTTCTTTCTTCAGAGAAACCTAATGTTATCTCAAACAGAGAGTTTACGAAAATCGCACAGATGTTCTTCCTTGACGTCTTTTTCAACGATGACATCTTCTGTGTCGTATTGCTCATAGTCGTTCATCTGAAAGGTGATAGTCTTGATAACAACGAATTTCACATATTTCATGCCCATGAAAACATTGTGAAATATATTTTGCATCTCGCCTCAGCTAAAGAAGATCAGTTTCTAAGATAATATAAATAAATATATCAACTATCTATGCCGAGGTTTATGGACAGTCGGTCTTTGAGTCATTGTAAAATAGTTTATAGTAGCTCTAAAAGTTGAAAAATAATTCGAAGAGGTTTTTCCCATGCTATGTTTTTATTAATTCACATCACTTAGATGGATTAAGTATTTATATTTTAGGAACCACCATATAGAAGAGAGTATAAGTTAGGAGAATCTGAACTTGACACTCATTCCGCGTAGCATAACTGCTTATGATTTTATTCTTTCTATGAAAGGCACGAGAACTAACAGCAATATTAAATTACCGTAATAATAATAATTACATATCTTTTTACTGAAGTCTGTGACATGAGGTTTTGGGAAGTCGTCCGAGATTTTCTTCAAGAGGTCCGACGTCCGGCGCGTCATCGAGGTGTATGCTGCTGATGGACAATAATCAGCAGGACGCTAAACGAGCTACCTTCACTTCAGGGACCTTGTTTCTTACCAGAATAGAAAAAAACCTTTCTTGTCCTTTCACTCAGTATTTTCATAATTACTAGCATTGTCTTTGGTCACACCAGAAAACAAGATCCGATCGATGTTACCACTATAGTGACATTTTTTTGCCGAATATTCACAATATTCTGTTCGGTAATGGACAAAAGCAATCGCTAATGTGTCGTTTTCTTGCTCAGCAATCGCGAGGTTTTTAAACAGCTGTTTAAAAACCTCGCGATTGCTGAGCAAGAAAACGACACATTCATATTCCAATGCCGAGGTTAAGAGAAAGTCGATCTTGGGAACTATTGCAATCGCTAATAATCAACAAGAAAACCCTACCCTGCATTGGATATTCGAATCTTCTTTGAGTTCCAGTCGAATGATACATGAGAAGAACATTGTTGGTTTGTCTGCAAACTTGAACACCGACGCTTCCTTTCCGGCAGTGAGGTCCGCACCGTACTCAAGGTTGTCCAGAAGATATTGGTCCAAGGAGCACCTGCAGTGCTATTGAAGAAATAGTGCGATTGGGTGTACGAAATGAAGTGCTACCAAGTATACCTTAGAAGGATCACTTATTTTGAATTAGAAAAAAACACGTGTACTTGGTTTTTCTCAAATATGACCAAGAAAATGCATTTTCCATTAATATTGTTTCGTTTCGCTATGTTGTAAGCTTGATTCATTTCAGTATAATAAAAATATACTTCTATAAAAAAACAACTTTACGTAGGATACTGTGTATAGAGCTTTAAATCAATAGATACTATGAATGCATAGAGATTTAGACGGATCGTCTACGCGTCGTACGGGTTACTGCACTTCGCTAGGAACCTTCGCGTTCCACTAGCTCTTAGGGATTGTTATCTTTTGTCTTGACTGCTGTTTTAGTATATTTAATGTTGATCGGTCACGCCTTTCACTAAAATGCCGACATAGTCATGCAAGGATTTTCAGCTCCTCACTTGCAAACACTAGTGTTCGTCGTTTGGAACGATGATTGAGCACTGCCTCGAGGATTTTTCTCGAAGATCTAAAACAGCAGCCTTTGCTATTATAAGCCGGCAAAAAAAGAACGCGACTTAACAATCCGTAAATTGGCATGCTGTGTAGTCACTATGTGCTAGCTAACAAGATACCTACTGCTGCAGGGTGGATCATCATTTGAAGAAACAAATTATTATCAACTGATAACCGTATCAACAACAATCGCCCTGTATAAAAGAGCGTCGCAGGTGTCTTCGGCTCATTCGAGATGCTCAACTGAGGAATATCCGGTTCAATGCGGGACGAAGACGCCACATCGAGAGGAAGAACAGCTGTGGACCATAGACAAGGATCGTGGGCTCTGATGAAGACGAATAAGTCAAAGCGTTGGCCGAATAGACATTTCTATCGACCTTGTGTAAGCTGAACAATATAAACACATGTTGATTGTTTTATAACCGAGGTTTAATGACAGACGGTTTCGAAAATACTGTGTAGTTCTTGTGTAGTTTCTTTTAAATAAATAGGAAAATTTTTAAAAGCTCCAATTAATGTTCTTTTTATTTGGTCGATTTGGACTCCCCAGAACAACCCCGTTGACGGGTGTTTGCTGATGGCAAAAGATCGATAGAACTAGCTGAGACTAGCTGAGAGACAGGCAAAATGAAGGACCAGGATAGTGTGGTGGTGAAGTGCGCTACTCCCGGCTAAGGACAATAGCGCGCGTTCGTTCCCCACAGCATACGCCTACTTTCCGGAGTTTTGCAAATATCTCAGCATTATAAAAAGGTTAAGATTGCTCTAATTAATGTTGCCCGAATCAAACAAATCCTCATGAAAAGTTTAGTCTACATGCTGCATGTTTTCAGGAAGAATTTCAAGTTTTTAGAAAAGCAAAAAAGTTGTGAGACAGCTTCCAAATTTCAGAAAGCTCTAATTCGCTTAGGTATGGAAAGCAGTTAGAAAGAGAGTTGAAAACTTCGTAGGTTAGGAACAACTGGGTCAACCACCACGAGCCGATTTAACTACGATTTACTTCCGAGTTTTGACCAATAGATCCTAACACATTGCGTCCGATTTCTTCTTCTTTTCTTAGCGACGCTGTCGTTTCATCTTTAGCTGAGGTAACATGCAATTGATTTCATCAACTGAAATGACTAAAATCAAAGAAATTCGCAAACATCTACCCTTTTTCATCGATTAGTCGCTGCCCGATGCCATGTCCGTCGTTGGCAGTGCACGAATGTACGGTCATGCAGTATTGTTTCATGTCTTCCGATTCGCATGTCCATCTTAAAAGAAACTCATGGATGTGTCTGCTATGGGTGGAAAGAGCCAGTCTTCTTCAAAATTCTAAGCTCCTGCTAATTCTCTGCGCGAGTTTTAGCCAGCAAGAAATTGGAAGTAGCATAAAAATTTCTTGTGGAAGAGGAGAAGTTGGGAACAAATAACACTTCATGATTCCTGAGGATTCGTCACAACACACTTGTGGTAAACAGTAGCACCCAAGCTTGCAAACTGTACTGGAGAGCCGTTTCGATCTTTGTTGAGAACCTGAAAGCCAATGAATTTGGTTGAAGTACTGGAAGGTACTCAAAGAAGAAAAAAGAGAAAAATCTTATGCTTTCGAAAATATTTGGACGCGAATTGTAGTCAGTTCTTCATGGAACCTCTAGTGTCACATTTATTTTATTGTGAAATCTCAACATCGAAACTGCCAACTTCCGATTTGACTGCGGCTTAGCGGATTTTTTGAGGCACGGTTTAAGAGAAGAAATCCGCAAGAATAATATCTTACCTCATATTTGCATGTCGGAGTTTTCTTTTCATCCATGACAGCGATGCTTAGCGGTAATTCAGTGGCTGAGGGCGTGCTATAAAGAGACCTGGATAGATGCAATCTTACCCATCACCTTTGATGTGTTTCTCTAAATACCTTCAAGGTATCGTTACATCATCCAACAATGAAAACAAATATTATATAGTGGTAATAAGAGGAGTGCGTGTTGCGCACTGGCTAGAGGGGTCTTGCAATACACACGGGACCGATCCTGTGCCCCAGAATCACCAATCCTTTCATCCATCTCGGATGGGCAAATCTTTCAAGCTTTAAATAGCGAAAGCTTTGAATCCTTTTGTAACAACAGGATTATAAAATCGAAGTATATAGCGCTACAAAAATAACTACGAAGCTGTGAAATAAACTTCTTTTAAATACACGTTCAATGAAACAAGAAATGATGTTTTCGAGTACTTGACAAACTGCAACGATTCTAAGGTGAAGCTGCCGTTCAACTTCTGGCGCAAACGCTAATCCACATGCCCATCGGCTAAAAGGAGAACATCAATTGGCTCGAGTATGTTTGCATAATTGCCTTTCGTTATGGAGAAAAACATCATATTTTGACCTAATCTGATGGAGCATTGGAAAATCGTTTACAATCTGCGCAGATCATAGTCGAGAAAAATTACTCTATTGGGTTAAAAAAAGAAAAAATTTTGCAGAGATCTAAAGCAGTTAGATATAATATTCATTTACTGATCTAACAAATGATTTTGAAAGGTGACTTCCTCAAAACTCTTCCAAAATCGAGCCGTCTGGAGCTGCTTTGTGTTAGAGGACGACATGACGAGTAATCGAAATTCAAATGAAGGAAAGCAACATGTTACCACAGAAGCTTAAATATCCTGTCAAACGGTAACAACATAGAAAACTCCATATATTTTCGTTCATATTATATATATATATATATATATATATATATATATATAATATGAACGAAAATATATGGAGTTTTCTATGTTGTTACCGTTTGACAGGATATTTAAGCTTCTGTGGTAACNGTTACCACAGAAGCTTAAATATCCTGTCAAACGGTAACAACATAGAAAACTCCATATATTTTCGTTCATATTATATATATATATATATATATATATATATATCTTACCGAACCCGCCATCTCTCCGGGGTCAGAAAATTAACATCAGCCTTATTTGGGAGGATAGCAGCACTGACTCAATACATCGATGGGTCACCGCGAGTCATTGTAAAGGCCAGGTATGCATTCAATCACCTCCAACGATGACTGATGAAGCCGAATGCATGGCGCATCCGTAAGGGATTAATCAACGCCGAGAGCTTTATCTTCTATCCTTTATTGTTATTATCTAGAAAAGTGGTATTGGTATCAGACGTGTCTGGGAGCATAGCAGCTACGGTTCGATATATCGGCAGGCCACCGTGAGTCATAGTAGAGCCCAGACATGCATTCAATCACCTCTAAAGGGTGCTTAATGAAGTCGAATGCATGGCGAATCCCTTGGGAATTGATCAACGCCAAGGGCTCTATGATTCTCCTTTATCCCATATATTCCTCTTAATCATTAGAACTAGTCTTAGGTTTTTCTTATTACTCTACAATATGGCAGTAATTATCCAAACGCTTCAAAATGGTGGCTGACATCAAAGCTGGGAGAAATCAAGGTGAGAATTTCAACTGTGGTACACTAACTTACCCAATTTGTTGGGATAGCAATATCCTTCTCTCGATTAATAAAAAAAAGCGGTCGCTCCGAAGTGTATAACTACTCATTCAATAAGTTTCCCTACAGTAATAAACGTGAGACGCGCTAAATACTCACTTCTAAGAAACGTCTAAGTAAATCGGTTTAAATGCATGCAAAGTCTCACATCACTTCCAGTGCTCCTGTCACGTTGCTACTCGTCTCCAAGTAATGACACTGCAGGTGGTAAGCCTTGTCGACTTGAGTCATGAAGATTGGATGGAACATCACGACAATTGTCGTGTCGAGAGCCAATCCTCGTGGATTCGCCTGTTATTGCTGATAAGATGGGAAAAAACGAAAGGAGGTGGAAATATAGAAGGAAAAGCGAACAAGAAAGGTGAATACATCTTATTTTACTATGTTGTGCACTTTGGTACAATTGGGCGGTTTCACATTCCTTTTTGGCTAATTAATTTTACATTTGTGAATATTCTATATATTTTCCATGCGACGACGAACATCCACATCGGGATAACTGCCAGCTGTGGACCATCGACTCGAAACAATGCAGCTCTGAAAAAGACGGAGCCCCGAAACGTTTGCAGAATAAAAATTTACACCTCGTTCTGTTAACTCGATTATCTAAGAAACTGTTCTATTCACTATTTAAAGGTCTCGACTTGTCCCTTACTTATTCAGCATTTGTTCTCCCGATTTTTCCGGTTTCAAATGTGATTATTTCTTATGATCGTGCATTGAATTTCCTCCTTGCAATAGTTCCCAGGACCGACTTTCTCTTAACCTCGGCATTGGAATATGAATGCATCGTTTTCTTGTTCATCAATCGCGAGGTTTTTAAACAGCATACATTTACTTCCATAGAGAAACACAATACAATACAACGCGAGCTGACGTTTCGGCAGTATCGCCTTCTTCAGAGCCTGTAAGGGCATACTGATATGCAATCTACTAGGCCAAACGCTTCAATTTCTTCCTTGCATTCTTTTTACAATAGTCTTGTCACACAAGTGTGTTGGAGAAGGTGCAATTTATTCCTCTTTCCACCACTGATTAAGCTACTTTTTGCTCCCGTTACTAAGCCTCCTGTTAAATATCGGCTCAGCACGGCCCAAAAAACGAGCGTACTATACCGAGGACGAGATCTATTCTAGAATTTATTTAGACCTTTTAATCGATATTTAAAGAACAATGATAATAAAAATATTATATAATTTTAAGAACACCTTCCAGCACCGATGAGGTGACAAACGTTAAGAGGACACCATGGTATAATATCACTTAATTAGTACATTAATTGGTATTAAGAGTAATATCAAATGGTTTGGACTTTTGGTTTCTCCTCTTTCCACCTCACCCTTGTTTATTTTAAAAGATTAGACAGCTGGGACGCCTTTCAGTAATTCCCACAATCGACTTTTTATTAACCTCGGCATTGATCAAATAATTGGAATAAAGAGTAACGTAGCACCTCGTCTTTGCTCAACAATAATGGAAAGATTAGACAGCTTTGTAACCTTTGCAAATCACTGTAACTAATGCGCAGTGAAGAAATACGTAGTTCAGCTAGACTGTGGCAAGCACGACCTACTAATGCTCCTTCACTTCGTGAAAACCGTCAAAAGAAAAGAAGAGTGCGACACTTTTGTTATGAAGGTTTTTTAGTGAAATACAACTACGATGATGCTGAGATATTTGTAATACTCCGAACCGCAGGTTTCTGCGGCGGAGAACGAACGCGCTGTTGTCATTTCCGGGGAGTAACGCGTTCAGCGCCACACCATGCGGGTTCTTCGTTTCGCCTGTCTCTCAGCTGGTTCGATCGATCAGCGCCATTAACTAGGTTCGTTGCCGATTTGGGCTCCCTAGATCAGTCCCGTTGACGGGTGATTGCTGACGGAACAGATCGATAGAACTAGCTGAGAGACAGACGGGACGAAAGACCCACATGGCGTGGTGGTGAACGCGTTACTCCACGGAAAGGACAATAGCGCGTTCGCTCTCTACTGCAGACACCTGCGGAGTTTTGCAAATAACTCAGCATCACCTTAGTTGTATTTCACATGATATCCTGCCGTTAAAAATTATAGTAGGTTGTAAATAAAAATGTTAAAATTGTTTTCCTTAGTGTTTAAAAATGGGAGGGTCAGAGGTTGGCACTTTACTCTACAGTGGTGCAGACTTACGTCTAGATGGTTCGGTCAGTAGAAATATTGAACAAATTCTTGTCTTAGTTGACGCTGGTGAGTAAATGAATTTGTTGCTTTCTTGTTCAGCAATCGCGAGGTTTTTAAACAGCATACATTTACTTCCATACATTGGGATGGTGCAGTCGTCAACCACATGCGACTATAATCGGCTGTTCTAAACTTCCTCATTGGAAGTCACGAAAAAGCGGCTCTGAAGAAGGCGATACTGCCGAAACGTCAGCTAGCGTTGTATTGTATTGTGTTTTTTATGGAAGTAAATGTATGCTGTTTAAAAACCTCGCGATTGCTGAACAAGAAATCAACACATTCATATTCCAATGCCGAGGTTAAGAGAAAGTCGATCCTGGGAACTAGTAAATGAATTTTTTCTGTACAACGAATTTCGCCACTTCGGAGCATCTACGATTGGGTATACCACTTTTTGTATACATGAGCAGCCTTCACATTTACTACGCTAATCCCAGTACTTGTTGCATTCGATTCATCTTTCTCGCATTCGTCAATCACGAAGGCTTCTAACTTTTCGTGCGCGAGTTTGGATGCTGCTTAAGAATTGTCAAATTCTTTGCGAATGATTCACCCTGGATTCGTGGGATAACCGAAAACCAAGCTAGAGCGTTCCAACGAGTAAAACATTGTATATATATATCTAATATCTAATCTATGTATATGTAATCTAATCTAATCTAATCTATGCATATGTGTAATCTATGTATATCTTTCAATTTCTTGGATATACATATATATATATATCCAAGAAATTAAAAGTAATGTTTAAAAGTTTATTAACAGTTATATCAACACAAACCAGTCTTCGCCTTCGTACTCCACAGAGCGATGTCACAGCTATGTCAATTCCTATCTTCGTTGACTGGTTCCCTTTAAATCGACATCCAGTGATATGGAAGAAGCCCTAGTAATGATTAATTGCTGGATACACGAAGTTCATAAGAGGACAAACATGTATGAATTTCTTCTATTCTTTTATATATCGTAACTATCAATGCAATATAATGCGTTAAGATTTCTTTTCAAACATGCCCATTTTCAGCTTGCTAGCAATTTTCGACTCTACCAGTTGGAAATGGAAGCTGAACTAAGAACTTTAGTTCAAACTGAAGAATTATCGAAAATTCCAGTATAATAAGGTAGATTTTACGTTGAGTGTACATACTGGTGCTACCAGTGATTTGTTTTTACTGTTTCTAGTGATAAGATAGCTATGGGTAGCATAATAGGATTAGGTTTGGTTTTAGCTTGGGTACCGGATGGAAACGTATAACAACCATTCAACTTTGTTGACTGTAAAGGAAAGTGAGTATTGAATCTACAACGGATGCCAGCTTAAGACCCAATGATATCGTTGCGTACTTTGTCTATTAAAAGTGCTATGTGCTCAAATACGTGTTGTTCTTATCCTAAACGTCTTAAAAAAGTAAAAATTAGAACAGCGGGTTTTGTTCTTATCACAACATTATCCTATCAACACTGTTGATTGAAGTGATGAAAGAAAATCTGGTAAGCGGTGTCTCTTGGATACATGATATCACTGGTTGTGCCAGCCCCAACACAATCTCCATTTTTCAGAGATTTGCTGGTTAAGCCATTGTGGTTCCCTGGAATCCCGAGGTTACCCTGGCCAAAGTCTGCTCCAGGTCTTCACCACCACAGGCTGTTGCAACCTTCGAAGAACGGAGGAATTTGCCACCGTACGACTTTGATAGCAGGATGGCGGTGCATCCTGGTATTGGTTTACTCTCAGCTCGGCATTCTGATGGAAACGCCGGACTCCTTCTCAGCTTGGGAGATGCTGCCAGGGTGCAATTCCAAGCGACGATAACGCGGAAAGCCGTTGAGGGGAATAACAAATTAATCCGAAGAAAAAAACGGAAGTGGTGAAAATAAAGTTTTTCATGAATTCGTTGGTTATGTCATTTTCGACTTGTCGGAATCAGTCTTTTCATTTCCTGATAACACCTAACACTAATTCCCATCGTTACAATGTAATAAATTTAAGAAACTGTAAGCGATAGAATGCAATGAGTTACTGACATTCTAGGTCCTCCTTACAAAATATAAGGGGCGCGTGAAGCGCAGTGGTCGGAGGCGCCCTGCAATGCATATGGGATGGATATCGCGTTCCTGACACACACCAAAACCTCCATCTCCTTGGGGTCGGCATTATGTAGGCCACATATGCAGCCAATCATCTCCAACGGTGCTTGGTGAAGTATAATGTATGGCGAATCCTTCAGGGATTGATCAGCGCCGAGAGCTTTATCCACTGTTTTTTTTCTCCTTACAAAACATCTGTTTTAAAACTCATAAAAAAACTGAAAAGTTGGAATGATGTCTCACTTTTACGTAAATACTTCCACTGAAAGGCTTTTGCATCTCGACATTTATTGAGATCCATCGGGAACCACAATGAATGGTTGGTTGCCCTGGAAAGGATTTTTCCGTATCACCTCTGGTTCTTACGTTTCCAGATCATGCGCATATATATATATATGTATATATATATATATATATATATATATATATATAAAGGTTGCTGTGAAACTAATGCATGTTTCCTAATGTTCATCTCTTGTATGTGTACCGTCAACAATTTCTTTTCGACTGATACACCATCAGTGCAAAGCTCTTTAGAGCGCTTTCTGTCAGTGTAATTGAATTATTGTAAAAGAACTTTTTTTTACAAATTTTACAGGTCTTACAGAGAAGAAACTTTATAGAAAGGTATTTTTGAGAAATCCGTTTCAGACTTGGAAAATATTTTCTACCAAGTATCTATTGAGAACAGTTGAAATCTACGTGAATATGTTTATCCAACTTGTACTATAATGAATGAAAAAAAGTACTGACGGGTTTATGTTAGCACGTCGATCGCTACAAATTGTATGATTATAGCCTTGACAAATATCGGACCACATGGGCCGAAATGGGTTACCTGCCTATTCCGTGGCTCGCAAAGATTTTTTTAACGCACTTTTGTATTCCATCGATAGCTTGTCTCACATAGATGTAACAACATAACAAAAATGTGGCTTACGAAAGGCGTTCCACACGTTTAGTAACTCACAAAAAACCTCTTTTGGACGACATCACTTTGCGAAGATCATTGACGTTGAAGAGAGCTCATAGAATAAAAACTGTGGCCAATGAACAAGTACTGAAATGCCTCTATCGGAACACAGGAACACGACACTCAAGGAGAGATTTTCGTTGGTGATAAACCAATGAAAAAGCATCTTCCTTTAGCGGAAAACACAGGAAGTTCCACGATATCCTCTCCATCTCCAACTTCTTCATTATCGCTCACGATCAGAATTCGGCTTTGAACGTAGCTGAAGTCGTCGTCAGCTGACACAATGATAGAGGTGGTCGAATGTGAAGAATGTAAAAAACGATCTCCTTGAACTTTCTTCCACGGTCATAGAACAACTGTGGATTGCCTACTGAAAACTGAACGAAATTCATCCTATTTGTTGAGAGTGAAAAATTTCGAACCTATTGGTCTATTTTTAAATCTACTTTATACGCGCCCGAAGGCAATTACATCTTACCACAAGCATCTCTTAACCAATAGTGAACTTTTTCAGTTGAAGGAAAAAACTATGAGAATCTAGAAATCTTTGTCAACCAGATACAAATTTTCTCATTCGAACACGGTACAAATCGAGTTTTCCTTGTGAAAATTGTAAGTTTAAATAAGCTTAAAATGAAAATTGCATGCTAATAGTGTAAGGTACCTTTCGCAATTATGTAAGCTTGTAAGCTTCGTAACTTCTCTAGTTACAGAAAATCAATGGGAGTTGTTAGGAAGCAGTCATCAGCGCTTGTCTTCAGTGGTCATCTTTTGACTCATTGATTTCCATTTCAACTTGTTATGATAGGTCGTTGCTATCGTGTGGAATGCTCGGTTACAAGAAATAACAAGGTGCTTCCGTAGGTAGCAAAATCCTTCCAAATTTTGACAGCAGTGTGTTTAGCAGGTAAACTATAGTGAAAAATGAAGCATATAATAATATAATAACAATATTCTACCTCTAGAAGGATAAAGTGAAACCTCTTCACTAGTGTTCTGATCTTCTCAAACCCTATAGGTAGCGTTTAGCTCTCGAAAATTTCCCGCCATTTGTGGAAGAAACCTGCGGCTGACATGTTTAAGTCGCGGATAAGTTCATGACTTTCCTTGGCCCCATGAAGTCGGTGGTGGTCCTCTGAGTGTTTACGCGTCATTTCGAAATCACATTTGTTTTTTTATACTCTCAATGACTACGCCTCTAAACCTCTTTTTTTCTATAGACGTCTAAGACTGATATTATTGTTCTCAACAGTTATCAATGTCAATGAATCATACCAATAATCGCATTATCGAATGGATAGCTGAGAACGTAAGCTGCGATTGAAAATATGATTAAGAGAAATGTAGGCGCAAGCATGGAACGAGACCGAGCTTGCCACGGTTCTGGTGCAGATGTAAAGACGACAAGCGGAAAATCAACTGGAAACAAAATGTAGTAAAGGAGATCGACAACGAAAGCAATTAGAATAACTTCGATGAGGAGAGGAAACACAGCACAGAGGGACCGATGACAATGGCACTGATGAGCTTACACGAACTATTTATTAAAAGTGGAGGTGGCACGAGAAACTAGAATTATTAAAGAAGATTCGGATTATTTGAACATTTACAGAAGGTTCTTTGGAAAGTAAAGAAAGTAGCGAGTTCATTGGGAAAATAAGAGAAACAAAAGAATAAAGGTAGAAATGAGTGAACGAATAACGAAAGAGAAAACTAATATAAAAGAAAGACAAATGGAAGCAAACTGTGCGAAAACGACTATAGGAAAGAAATTTGGAAACTCATCTGCTATAGTACTGCTGTCGCCCTCGCCAGGCACTAGTAGTGATGCCATTTAGCACAAGCAAAACTCTAGTTAGACTCCACATCGAGTCAGCAAGCCCTTCATTCCTCCTGGACCGGAAATTGGTACCAGATTCACTTGAGATCATCTAGTTCCTTCCAGTCCAAAAAGTGGTGACTGCCTACGAGGGCGATCTGGAAACGCCCCAGCACAGCTATACCAAAATTCCAAGCAGAATCGAGCCGACCAGTATTCAACGACATTCATGAAAAAGCGTAACATTTTCAAGCAGCGTCGAATCCACACGTTGAATTCCACGTCCTCTGTGAACGATGAATGCGAGGAAACCAAGCGAATCGAATGCAAGAAGTGCGACGATTCGTACAATTCATGGTTTCGGGTCCTGTAGAATAAAAAGTGAAAACAAATAAAAAACAGTAGTATTATCATCATTTCACTTCAACACTTCGATATCAGATCTTAGCTAAAGTCTGATAGTAAATCGTTCAAAAAGAAGAAAAAATTTCACAAGTGTGCAACTTTTCAATTCAAGAAGACTGATCAATTCGTATCTATCGTATTGTATCCTTTATTTCGACTAAAAATAAAATTAAAATGTAAGCAGCAATTTTGATTTAATAATAATTTGATTGATTAATAACAATTACTAATTAATAAATTAAACAATAAATAATTGATAGTTAATTTAGTTTTGGTTTAATAAAAATTTTAGATGTAAATCTCTGAAACAGCGTATTTTTTGTGTTCATTACGACGTTGTAAATGCTTACTTTCCCATGTCCATGCTGTCTAATGAAAATGACTCATGAAATTAAAATGTGGAAAAGTTTAGGGTGGGAAGGACGACCCCGGTTCGTTTATGTTTCACTTTTTTTTTTATTATCACTCGTATTCACGTCTAATGTACAGATCTCAGCCGTTCTCACATTCGATTCCTTTCCTCGCATGCATTGCCCACGAAGATCTTCCAAGTTTTTAAATGTGGCTTCGGTTGCTGCTCGAAGATTTCCATTTCAAGGATGTCATAGAATGCTAGCCGAACAATTCTCCCTGGAGTCCTGATCTAGCTGGGCTGGAGCGTTTCCAATTGGATTGCAGAGAGTGATTTTTCCCAGACAAGCCCGGCACTAATTTCCTGACAACGGAGGGACGAGAGGTTTGGTTGGGCCGGGGTGGAACCGAACTATTACCATGGTCATGATGACGGACATCACTACCATTGCGCTATCCGCTCGCTTTATGTCCCACTACAGAAGACAACTAATAATAGGGATTAGAAAAATTGAAGTATGATTTAAATAAAGAGGTTTGGTAACGTCAAATATTTCTATAATCTTTAAGACTTTTGTCAATGTGCCGAATTTGTCGGATCGTCGACAGAATTGATCATTTGCGGACAATTTGACGGCAATTTTGTAACGCATTTGTTCAGCCATTGAGTAGCCTGTTTGCGAAGGTGTTGTGACACTTTCGGTTGTCCGACAGCGACGATAATCTGCATCGGCTAGAATTAAATAGAAAGAGTCCGGCTATTATGTTGTACTTAATAAGCGACACTATACTAGACCGATGAGAAGCGTCTTGAAACTCGTCCACATCTGCGCCTATTCAAAAACTGCCCATAGTGCTTAAAATCGTTCGCAAGGAAGCCATTTCACTAAAAATCGCAAACTTTTATAGAACTTTTATCGTGGAATAAAAGTCATGAAAGTTGTTGCTCCTTATATGGACCACGTTTATGGTCACCAAGAACTTGAAATTCTATAGTGGCGGAAGGTAGAGATTTCTTCCATTCGACGATTGTTAGAGCTGAACATATGAAAATACATGACCTGCTCACAGGTGATGGATAAGTGCTTGAACAAGCACGGTATAAAATAAGAGTATATTGCCCTTAGGCGCTAGTGGAACTGGGGATAGCTTCGCTGTCTTATGAGATACTTGATTTACCGATATCTTTCTAATGTGTATGGGAAATGAAAGGATATGAAATAGAAGAAATCTATTGCGCACATTGATTCGGCCAAAAACTAACGGTGAACTTACTGGAATACAAACGAGGCTGTTAGTGGTAACATCTAAGAAATGAGCCTCATATCTGTTCCAGTACAACTCAATATGCCATAAATAATCATAAAAAACGAGATGGAAAAGCTTAGCGAGCAACTTCTAACTCTCACCATAATCTGTGAAAACAATTTTCTTCACAAAGGAGTGCGTTGTCTTTACATCGCTCAAAGGAATACGGTCCACTGTCCCACAACGTTTTGGCCCATTCTAGGATGCGTGGACGATTTTCTAGTGCCCGCCAGGCTCACTCCTTGGCTAATTCAACTACTGGTGACAGAAAGGAATTTTCACCATTTAGGAACAAGACACAAGGAAATGCTTCATCACGCGTTGGCACAATTTCTCACTTTTATTTTATTGCTGATCATAAAATGTATTGTCTACTCAGTCAGAAAAATCAGGGAATAAAACTAAAAATTACTTACTTACTTCCTTACTTACTTAGACGCTAAGACGGTTGTTGGCAGATTTTGGGATCCCAGCACATTTGCCATTCGTTTCTTTCCCTCGCAAATGTCCATAGTGGCAGTTTTATTCGAGCATAATGGCACGTGCGCGTCTCATACCGTGATCTGTAAAATAACCTCAGCTGCGGGTACGGCTGATTAACTTTGTTTACGAACACGTCCGCCTAGCGTGTAGGTGGTCGTTTTAAGGGACACCTGCATCCTCGTGGAGTGCTCTATGCAGTAGTTCCTCCATCTGTCGTCTCTTCTTCTCATTATGTGACCGGCCCATCTATGTTTTCTGTCGATGTATATTCTCCTGGATCTTGAAGATCTGACAGATTTCGAAGGTCAGTGCTTCGCATTACGGCTATATAATGAGAATGCCGGTTATATTTCAGAAGACATCGCTCAAGCGCTCTGTGAGTTGTTCGAAGCATTCTTGACGTTGTTGAAGTATCAGCCCAAGTCTCTGCAGCATAACAGATCGCTGGGAGGACCACTGAATCGAAAAGGTGAGCGCGGGTTTTCGGCTCCTTCCTTTGCTAGGAGGCTTCTTTGAGATGCAGCCCAAATGTTGCTCTCCATGTTGACTGAATGGCCAAGGCGAACGTAAATCGTGGCCCTTGTAATGAGAGAACCATTCAATTTGATCTATTCGCTTTCGCACCATTGGTTTTTCATCAACTGGGTCCTCATCAGATTTAGGGTTGTCCACTCATTTGATAGGAATTTTCCATCAATGCGTATACATCGGTCTATACGTCTATCTCAATAGGGTGAGTTCATTATCCATTGCGGTGGGGCAGTAAACAGCATCGATGAAATGGTGCTACCTTGTCGAACCCTTCTTCCTCTGAGCATAGCAGGAAGTCGATGAAAGAAGCTGCATTTTCGTAGTGCAGTTCCGATAACAATTAGGCAGAGTTCCTACACAGGACAGGTACGCTTTTTGCTTGGCATGCACTGATGAGATTACATCCGCTTCAACACTGTTAAACGCCTTTTCATAGTTGAAAAAACTCAGGACTTGGTGCTGATGGTATTCCCGACGAGCTTCATTGATCTCGGACATAGTTTGGACGTGGTTCATTCTGCAAAACCTTTGTCGGAATCCTGCCTCTTCCACTGGTTGCGCCTCATCCAGTGTTCCTTGATATGCGCGGGAGGATAATATTTGTGAAGAACTTGTAGAGTACACTCAACAAGCATATCGGATGATAGTTACGAAGATCCCTTCGGTTACTTTTCTTGGATGACCGTACACGGCGTCCACCACTGGTCTGGGATTTCCTCCTTTTGAAGGTACGCTTTGATATGATTTTCGAGAAATACATGTAAATTGTGGCTTTCAGATCTAAGGAAGTCAATAGTGATATTATCGGGTCGTGCAGCTGCGCCGCTTTTCAAGCTTTCTATCGGAATTCGGACCTCCAACAGAAGAATTCCGCATAGTTATTGTGGAAAGGAAAAGGTTGCTGTAAAACGTTGACGTTATTAACTCCATACCATGGCTGGAACTTTTGACGATTCCATCTTCGTTCACCAAAGCTGACAGTGGAACATTATAGACATACATGTCCCGACAGCATTTTTTTCAGACTGCTCCTTTTCTCTGTTGCTTCCAATATTTTCTTCTGCCTGTACCGTTGTAAATCTTCCTGCAAGGCTCTTCTGCAACTGGCATTCATTACTAGCCATGTTAAACGCGTTGCAGTAGGATCAAGTTTCAGTTTCCTTCTCACTTCGAGCAACTCCTCAGTGGTAATAGTGACGCGGTGTGATCTTCTTGCGTAAGGAGCTATGACGACTGGTAGAGACTACCACGTTTCCAATAAAGTGGAGATTTTTCGTCTCCGCATGATTCCTTGTAAATACGACGATCCATGCATTCCAAGTAAAGAAGATATACATAGGCGATATTTGAATGGTTACTCTCGCTGATGCGTCGCGCCTAGCACATCATGCTTTCCACCAAACGGATGTGTTGTTATATGTTATTATGTGGAGTTATGTTATTTTGCACTGTACTAACTGATAATGATAACGACTTCTGAAGGATCGACTTCCTGGAAAAAATAAGTTATTATCACCGGAAAATCACTACCAACACTAGTAATGTTGCCTCATTTGAGCGGTGCTTCACTGAAGAAGATCCGACTCGATACAACGAGGAAAACACCACATCGAGTTTAGGAACGAATGTGGACGTCGAAGACATCGAAATGTTGGTGGCTTTCACATTTGAATTAACTGCTTCTATAGAACAACGTAATTATATTGTCGAGAATAGAACTGAGATGAATATATATTGGCGAAACGGGCAGACGTTTATGCATCCGCATAAAAGAACACAGATGGCAAACGAAGAGCAAGACAAATATCACACTAGGAATGCATAAAATAAAAAAAAGCTCTGGGCGTTGATCAATCCTTGAAGAACACGCCATGCATTCGACTTCATTAAGTATCGTTGGAGATGACTGAATGCATATCTGGTCTTTACAATGACCCGCGGTGGCCTACCGATGTATCTAGCCAGTGTTGCTATCCTCCCAGACAAGTCTGGTACCAAGGTGGGTGTGCGGATCGATTCCACGTGTTTATCGCAGTGGCACCTCCAACCAGGTAGACGCACAGGATACAAAAACATAGCAAAGATGATTTTGATATTAAAGTCAAAATCCTAGCACAGGATACCAAAACGCCAACGCGTAAACTTCTACAGGCTTTTTGGATTAATACTAAGAACCCTAGAATGAACAGCAGGGAGAAATACCCGGAGATCGCACGTAATCTGGCCCTCTACCCCTGCATCGACTTTTGATGTGGGCTGGTGCATTTATCGACCATATGCGACTCTGATCAGCTGTTCATCCTCAGTGGAAGGCACGTAATAAACGGTGGGTTTTTTCGAGAGGGTGGTGACTGATCGTGTGACTGCGGTTTAGATTTTCATCTTTATCTGTGCGTTATCGGAGCGTTTACTTAGTAAATGGCCTATCAATATACCTTTTTAGGCTCTCAAGAAGGCGAAATCTGCCGAAACATCAGCTTTAACGGAATAAATAATAAAGTAACACCTCATATTTGCTCAACGGGATTATCGACAACGTATTATAATTGGTTTGAACCAAGTAAGACAACGAAACGCAACGAATTAGGCGAACAACACGATCCGTATTTCCTAACGAAATAGGCTCAAATAATTAAACAATTAAGAACTTGTATATATCTTTCTACTTCTGTTCAGCAAACACGAGGTGCTATTTTATTTCTCTATTTACGCACAAGCTGACGTTTCGGCGGATTTCGCCTTTCTCAGAGCCTGGAAGGGTCAAGTTGACAGCAATCCACTCGGCCAAGCACCTCCATAACCAAACAGAGAAAACGCTAAACCAAGATTTCAATCACATTTAGCATAACTCTGCACACTCACCGCTTTCTATGAGTCTTCCACTGAGTATGTCGCGTGAAGACCGACCGCACAGAATTCACATGGAAGCGTAATGTGTCAAAAGAACTTGTAGGTCATTGTTTGTTTGCTGAGCTACTGCCACCTTTGTTGCTCAAATCACATGACGGTCGAATTATGAACGTCTCAGTAGTTTTGCACGATTACGCAGATTGTTGCGGCTCTTTTTTTTTCGGGATACTCAATTTTGAAAGCTGTAGATAATAGGGTCTCAATTTCCACCATGTGACAATCTCTTTATGCCTTCTGCATTTCATTTTATCGGTTTCGAGAGTTTTCCAAGTGATTTCAAACTTTGCTAAGGAGGTCAAATTCATACGGTCTCCATCCTTCATTTAAATTTAATGTGGTGAACGATGCGAGGCGTTATGCTGTCATAATAGCGTATAGTAGGTAAGAGAAATTGCACAGGTGGAATTCTGACACATGCTTCTATAGCAAAGATGAGAATTTCAATGTTTTCAAGGTAATGTTAACACGACATCTCGCCAAACTTGTGGAAGACCGGAGTGTTCCCGCCACTATAATGGTTTTCCATCTTGGCAGTGTCAATACAAATATTTTCAGAGAACCGGATATTTTTGGCTTAGTGTGGTATTTAGATGAGAGTTATTCAAAAATGAAAAAAATAAGTCTTCATTTGCCCGCACTTCCAGCGCTCTTGGTAATTCATTAGGTTTTTATACAGCATTTAGGTCGACCGTGTGGTTCACATTGAGAACTGAAAACGACGGTGCTCAAATGCCGTTGTACTGGGCGCTTAGTAGGAAATTACAAAAGTGTAGTGGGCAATATTTCGAGTAGTCGTTGCTTGATCTATCGGCTACAGTATGCATACCAATCCTTGCCGGTAGTTTATTTATGGTACCGTAATAATTGAACGACCAGGACTGTCAGTTTCTAAGCTTTTTCTTTAGGTTCAAAACTGTTAAATACCATGAATTAACCCATTTTTACGTTGTAAACATCACATCCATATTACCGACTTCATTATCCGATTTTAAAGTTGCAGTGGAGTTCTAAGATGAATTTACTTCAACTTCAAGGAGAAGAAACCAGCAAAGCTAATATTAGAACAGATTTGGTCACAGAAATATTTCGTAGCAGAGACTATGACTAGTATCTGTATAATGATAGCGTTATGGCGATATTTGAGAGGAATCTGCAGAAGAATTTCTGCAAATTACCTTGCAAATTATTTTGAGTTAAGCCAGACCAAAGAGGCCAATGGCGCAATCGTTTGTAGTTCCTTTCTATGCACATGGTCTCTTCCTTCCAATACATGACATGAACAAGTCAACCCAGTATTGTTTCATACGGAGTCGGGTATGGTCAGAGATGGCTGGAAGGGTGAGAAACAGTAACTTTATACACAGACAGGACAAAGTAAGCAATTGCACAAGATAACTATGCACTTAGTTATCCTTCCAGTGCTTAGCCCATTGGTTCCAACATGGGTCACATATGATGCATACGCTTCCGCTCATACTAAGACTGTTGAGTCATATATTATTCGTTTACTTTTCAGCCGGTTACTTCGCCACATAAAGCTGTTTGCTGTACGTTGTGTAATCTTTCGACAGCTTATTCCAACACAGATGAAATGAAAAGCTCTTCTCACGAAAAGCTACATTCTACACCTAGAAATCTATTGAAAAATCCTTCTCTATAATGAGTGCATACCACTAAATTAGGCCTGGTAAATAACTGTTATTTCATTTTCAATCTCTACAATGAGTCACGTTTACCACATGGAATGGGCCCTAAGAAAAATGCAGAAAGAGACGTAACATATTATTGAACCGTTATTGAACCGTCCCAAATGTTGATAGAAATGTGATTCTAGGGTCGTGTTAATAGTCAATAGTAACATACATATCATTCATACCACTAAAGTGACAGAGGAAAACATCGGAATCTCATTTTTGAGCTTCGGACACGCAATAACCCTTTTCGAAGGTCTACGCACTGTCCACTACACCGTCGAGCCATTGTTTTACCTTTCCCTCTGCCAGATTTTACCCTAACGATGCAATCAACCGTCAGCTCGAATGATATCGGAGCACAAGTCTGCACTGAATCCTGTT